CGTCCGTATTAACGAGGGCACGCCGACTACCCTACGCCATCGGTGTACATGTATGAACATGATCGCATGTTTGAATTCGCGCCCAATAAAGCTTCCCCTAAGGGACGCGAACCCACAGTGATGCGAGGCACACACTTCAAACACTACTTTTTTAAGGCAGTGCTTTTAGCCCATTGCGCCACACCTCAGACCAATAAAGTCAGAGACACACGTCAGAGACTGAAACGTTATAATTATATAACCCGTACTACGAGTTAGCCGCAGCCCAGCGGTGTATGCGAGACACCGGACGTATCATTAATAATATTTCGCATATTAATATAACAATTATAATAGAAAATGTAACCTAGAAGGTTTCAATTCATTATAGACCATTCATTATGTTTTGTATTTCCCAAATTATATCTCGAATAATGAATAATAAAATGTAAAACAGAGGTTTATTTTATTAATTCTTGTTATTAATTCAAATATATTTATTTATTTAAATAACAACAAATTACATATCAATCAGGTGTAGGGTGACTAGACGTTTTCCATTACGGAGGATTGTCTTTTAATTGACCATTGTTTTCGTACCGTCGTACTTATATAAAACAAATCATTATTGCAATATTTGATTGACCATGAGCCTAATTGGTGCCAATCCACAAAATCCATTAGTAAACTCGTGTTGAGTCATGTCTGTGAACTGATTGACATCCAACTGATAGGTGTGAACGCCTTTATCGGCCTCTTTGTTGTGGTCGCGAATCCGGCGGTAATTGTCGGCGAATATCTGCCGGCGCTTTGACTCGTCGTAGTCTCGCATTATTTTCAATGTTTTGTCGGTCCGAAACTCAAGCTTTTAATATGTAAATAAAATTTAACTCNGAATATCTGCCGGCGCTTTGACTCGTCGTAGTCTCGCATTATTTTCAATGTTTTGTCGGTCCGAAACTCAAGCTTTTAATATGTAAATAAAATTTAACTCAAGCTAAAATTACATATTATTATGTAATTTAACATGATTAAATAATTATCTAATTTACCTTAAACTCTTGCCAATCGATCTCCATATCTTCTGGTGTTGCGTTTATTAATTGTTCTGCCATATTTAACATTTACTATAATTGTATGTTGCCAATTAAAACAAAAAAGTTTTTACATCTCTTTATATACAGAGATGCAAATCTCTTATCATCTCTTTAGTTAATATATACTACGTTTCAAATAAACATAATTGTTTTTATAAAATTAGCATTTAATATTTCTAAGTAAATATTTATAGTAAAAAGATGTATAGATATAAATAAATAAAAACGACAAAAACAAAAATATTTATGTATTATATACGATTAAATAAAGTATATAAGTAGTATATACTGTATAACAAATACAGCCCATAACAAACACTGTTACCGCATTATTTTTTATCTTCTCTATGGTTTTTACTACCTCCCCCCCACCTCCCTGTTGTATGTTACTGTTATGCTGTGAAAGGACCCGAATGTATATGGCCATTATATATGGCCATTGAATAAAACTGTTTATAATGACAATTGACTTGTATTATAACCAATTCAGTGGTGCCTCGAGAGCCGCGTGGATGCCTGCACTGTACCTAAAACTTGATGTAAATTTTAAGTCAATTAATCTAGCTACCGGTGAACAATTGAAACCAGAGTTTATTCCTGTAAGTTCTTTTATTTAACCTATTATTTTAACTAATCCTATGCATCACCTGAATTGTGATAACGTATAGCATCGCTGTGTGATCCTTGTTTTATTTAAAAGTAATTACTTTTTATTTTAATATTTAATTAATCTGTATATTTTAGTTTTATTTTACAGATTATTCAACCAGGAATCACTGAGATAAATTACTAGGTACTCCTAACTCATGGATCGTACTACATTTGGTTGGATAAATTTAATTACGCAATATTAACAATAATTAAAATTATTAACAAATAAAATAAACATTGCAACTATTGTTAGTGCGTACCCCAACTTCCAGCGATGGGTGGCCGGCCTTCAGGCAGAGCTACCCAATTATAATGAGGTTAACGATATATCACAGGCCGAGTGGGACCAGGAAATGGCCAGATATATGGCAGCACAGGCTTAATAACGATTGTCTTGTTTATCTTATTCCTTTATATTGTAATAAAGTTACATTTGAATTTATTAATAAATAAATTCCTTAAATATCAATCATGTATTTTGAATTATTTATTAACAAATGTGATTAGAAATAATGAGTTTAATTATAGAGGTTTTAGATCTAGATAGGATTTTCAACTTTTACTGTAATGTAAATCTATGAGAATTTTTACACACAATTAATTGAATTTACATTGTACAGTTTACAATCATAGTAATTACCTTGAACACTATCAGCTAATAGTGCATTATTATTTAATAATAAGTGCATTAAGTTCTACTTAAACTTATTTTATTATATTTTAGATAAAAGGGATTCATATATGGCTATTAAAAAAACTGTTGATGTTATAAATAAAACAATTTTATATAAAAAATCATATAACTTTTATTATTAAGTTGAATTGTGCTAACTTTTAATAATGACAATTGATTTCTATTATAACCGATTCAGTGGTCCAGTGCGAGCCGTGTGGATGACAGTCAGGCAATTAAAACTTGACGTTAACTTCAAGCCAATTGACCTAGCTGTTGGCGAACAATTGAAACCAGAGTTTTTAGCTGTAAGTAAATTTATTGGTGTTAGGAATTTAATAATATAATTTAAATCTAATGTATAAAACTAAATATTTTATCATAAATACTTTATATTTATAACTAAAATAATAATTAATTATTTAAGTAATTGTATATTTCATAAATAGTTTAATTTATGTTAAATATAATTATATTATATAAATAATACATGTTTTTTTATTTACTATACACTTAAATCCCTTGCATAAAGTGCCCACTTTAGTGGACGACGGGTTCGCTCTATGGGAGAGTCGGGCAATAATGCAATACCTGTGCAACCGATACGCGCCGGACAGCACTCTCTACCCGAAGGACCCGAAACAGCGCGCTCTAGTCGACCGGTCTCTCAACTTTGACCTCACATTTTTGAACCAGATCATAGATGTTGTATGTGAGAGCACAATAATAATTAACAATTAATAAACACAATTATTATACATAAAATAAATATTAATTTACACTATTTATCTCCACACAAACAACAACATAGTTTACACCCATATTTTCAGGAAACCAACCCTCGGCCGATAAAGTAACCGCGTTTAATAATAGCCTCAAAAATTTGGATCAAGTGCTAATTAAGCAAGATAAGTATCTCGTTGGCGACCAGTTGACCCTGGCCGATTTGTCACTACTGGCGTGTTGGGTATATTTGGAAAAAGCTCACATAGATGTCAGTGCGTACCCCAACTTTCAGCGATGGGTGGCCGGCCTTCAGGCAGAGCTACCCTATTATGATGAGGTTAACGGTATATCGCAGGCCGAGTGGGACCATGAAATTGCCAGATATATGGCACAAGCTTAATGACTATTATTTAATTAATTTCATACATTTATATTGTCGTAAAGAAAATTTTTAATTTACTAATAAATAAATTGTTTAAATTTTATTTATGTAGTTAAATAATTTATTAATTAATGTCAGTAGAAATAATTATGTAAATTGTACATGTTTTAGGTTTAATTAATTTTAGGTAATTTTCAAATTTTATATCTAACTTTTAGATAATACATTGTATTTAGTGTACAGTAATGTAAGTTTGTGAGAATTTATACACACAATTTATTGCATATACATTTACAGTTACAATCATAGTAATTACCTTGAACACTATTAGCTAGTAGTGCGTTATTAGTTTATAATAAGTGCATTAAGTTTTGTTTATATAAAAGGAATGTAGTAATATTAATATGGCTATAAAATAAAACTGTTTTTGTTATTATAACACAATTTAATTTTAAAAATAATATAACTTTTATTTTTAAGTTTACTTGTGTTAACGTTTAATAATGACAATTGACTTATACTATAACCGATTCAGTGGTGCCTCGAGAGCGGCGTGGATGACTGCCCGGCACCTAAAACTTGATATTACTTTAAAACCAATTGATCTAGCTACCGGTGAACAATTGAAACCAGAGTTTATTGCTGTAAGTAACTTACCAATTATTTTAACATTATGCTATAATAATCATTAGTTAATTATACAAAATGACTAATTTTCTAATACGATATGATATTATAAATACTATTTAATGACTAAATTATAAATTAGATTGTAAATTAATTTGTAATGTAAAAACATAACATATGAATATAATTTTTAAATATAAATTTAAATTATATTTATTTATATACAGATAAATCCAATTCATTCGGTGCCCACTTTGGTGGACAATGGGGTAGCTCTATGGGAGAGTCGGGCAATAATGCAATACCTGTGCAACCGATACGCGCCGGACAGCACTCTCTACCCGAAGGACCCGAAACAGCGCGCTCTAGTGGACCGGTCTCTCAACTTTGACCTCACATTTTTGAATCAAATAAGTGCTGTTGTTGTATGAGTCATACATTAAATGAATAATTTATCAACGTGCTGCAAATAATCACTTAAATAATTATAAACACAGCTGTCAACATGGTCGGGTGGTGATCAACCGGCCGATAAATTGGCTACGTTTCATGGTACATTAAAATTATTAGACCAAGTGCTAATTGGTCAAAATAAGTATCTGGTTGGCGATAATGTTACCATAGCAGATTTGTCGTTATTATCAATGTGGGTATATCTGGAGAAATACGGTATAGATATCAGTCCGTACGCTAACTTTCAGCGCTGGGCGGCCGGACTCCGGGCAGAGTTACCCTATTATGACGAGTGCAACAGTATATCGCAGTCAGAGTGGGACGAGTTTATTGCCCGATACTTGGCTTATGCAGCTGCATCTAAAACTAAATAAGCTTGGTTAAATTTATCAATGTTGTAATATAAAAACATATTTTGTTTTTATTTATCAAATAAATAAAATAAAAGTATTTATCATGATGAATGTAGCATGCGTAAATTATTGATTCTGTTAGCGCGAAGAACATTGATTGTTAAATTATTAGATTGTATAATATTAGGCTTATTTACATAATATGTAACATAAAAGTGTTGAATGCGATAAAACATTTGCGCACAAAATTCCGTAAATATTAACATATTAAACCCAAACCATAGGCTAAATATACTGGCCATCAAAGCTAGATATTCTTCCATGGGCATTTTCAGATACATGTCATATGCAATAGGAAGTTGTACAGGGTACTCAATGTATAAACTAGATGCATTTGTGTGATACTGTTTACGCTCAAATTGTGAACTAATGCCTAGGTGATAATAGTGTTTCACACACTCAACCGTATTACTACATTGTAATTCGCATATTTTACCATAATCATTGTAAACAGCGACTTTTGTCGCAAACTTATGGCTATTGTTTGTTAATACAAATGTTAAATAGTTTGCATCAAGATCATCATTATATTGCCGGCTAAATTCATTTATATTGCACGCGTTAATACACTCGCGGTGTGAAGTATTTTCGGAACATGGTATATGTATGAGGTGTTGGCGTTTAACAATCACCTCGTTGTATTGAATAAAAATAGTACGGAATTTATTTAGATTCAAATAAATAAACCCAATATCATCTATTTTGTAGAGGCGTTCGCGGGCCGAATGTGCATGAAATTGTACAATATTACTTTTAATTACTAGATTGCTACTAATTTTTATAGCAAATACAAACTTGCTTCCCTCCACTAGCGTAAGGTTTCTATTTGTCAAATACCGAGTGTCCGACTCGTATGTCCACTGAGTGAATAACGATATGCAATATCTGAATCCATCAATAGAATAGCGATAGGGGGCAAAGTCGCTACAATTTGACCATGATGTGTTTTGGCCGGTATTACGATATATGTTTAAGCGACATTCAATATGTTTCCCAATTGGTAATAGGTAGTTTATTTGCTCGCCAAGTGGCAATTGATTAAACTTGGCTGAATTATTACCAATATAATGTTGTCTAATTTTGGGGTCAATTAATGATGTTTTATGGAAACAGATTGTAATACCGGGTAATGAAAAAGCGTTTTGCTCTTCGTATATAACATTAGTTGTAGTTTCGTATGAAAAGTATAATAAACTTATTTTATACGTTTGATACACACATCCCATCAAACATAACAAATGAATCGCTATTTTAAAAAAATAGTTAAGTATTTTGTTCATTATTTAATTTATTACTACTTATTATTATACAAACACATAATGTACAATAAGACTATTTTGTTTTTAAGATAGTCCATTAAATATAACTAATATAATGTGCCAGAGCCTATTAAGCATTGATCGGAATCTTATTTTAACATAAATATATTTTTACAGAATTATAGTAAGCAAACATTAAATATAACAAAATAAATAATTTATCACAACGAAGTTATGTAAATAAGTAAAGTTATGTAAATAATTCTAGTACATTTTAAGGGCATCGCAATATTACAAAGCACATTTATATTAATATTAATTTTTGTATTATATAAATCAATATTTAAAAACATAAGTATGCCATACATATAGTAATAATGATAATTGTCGCATGATCTCAGAATTAATTTATGGAAGTATATGAATAAGTCACAATGCCAATCAAGATGTGTGTAACATACGCAAGCTAGGCACTTTATTAGTGCGAACATTAATTGTTACATTATTTGATTTTCTTATACTTTTTTTTATATTAAATAATAGTAAGAATTTGGTTAATGACATCAAGGCATTGAGTGGTTGTTATTGAGGGCACAAATGGCAATACCGGCCTAACCTTTATACTTAATTAACGGGTTTTAGTCTCAGCGGTCTTTGAATATTTAACGGTCTTTAATGGCACTGTGAGGTCGGAAGAGACCTCAGAGCTGGCATACAGAGGTCGGTATAAAATAAAACGACCACCTTTAGAACACGTGTTTTTGTATATGTATATTATAATTGTATTGACTATTATTTATGGCACTGTGAGGTCGGTAGAGACGTCAGAGCTGGCATACAGAGGTCGGTATAAAATAAAACGACCACCTTTAAAACACGTGTTTTTGTATATGTATATTATAATTGTATTGACTATTATTTATGGCACTGTGAGGTCGGTAGATGCCTCAGAGCTGGCATACAGAGGTCGGTATAAAATAAAACGACCACCTTTAGAACACGTGTTTTTGTATATGTATATTATAATTGTATTAATTATTGTATTTTTGTTTTTGTATATGTATAGTATAATTGTATTGACTATTATCTATGGCACTGTGAGGTCGGTAGATGCCTCAGAGCTGGCATACAGAGGTCGGTATAAAATAAAACGACCACCTTTAGAACACGTGTTTTTGTATATGTATATTATAATTGTATTGACTATTATCTATGGCACTGTGAGGTCGGTAGATGCCTCAGAGCTGGCATACAGAGGTCGGTATAAAATAAAACGACCACATCTAGAACATGTGTTTTTGTATATGTCTATTATTATTGTATTGACTATTTATACCTTATCAGAGTTTACAGAGGTTCGGGTTTGATGATAATCACCAGAATATAATACATACTGAAGATATGGGTATGGAACTTTTACAAACAATTATTTTTGGGTAAGCACAATATTCCATTCAATTAAGTTACTGATTTTATTAGGTAATTAAATTATAATTTTATAAAATATATTTAACAACAGAAATTATTGTATTTAATACTAAACATTGTTTTAAGCATTTAAATTAATTATTTTATTACATACAACTAGGTTATATATCCAGTCGTTCAAAAAAACTTGTCCTCTCAAGAATCGTTATATCTCCCGAACGGAACGAGCTAGATCAATACTGTAAACTGTAAAATGATGGTCCACATATCTAGTTTTTTCTGACAAAAAATTATTGAAATCATGTGACTAGAACATAGAAATTTTTGGGTCATTTCGAAATGCCATTGTTTTTGCCCAGTTGAAAGGGGGGTCGGAAGGGGGCGGGTATGCTATTTGGAAGATGAAATGTGAAAGTACATTATAGCAAAATTTGATTAAGATTAGTTCAGCCATCTACGAGAAATTGTCAATTATATTAACATTATGTCTATGGGGAAAACTGGTTCTGAAGTCGACCTTTTATAACTACAGAAATGTGAAAGTACATTATAGCAAAATTTGATTAAGATTAGTTCAGCCATCTACGAGAAATTGTTAATTATATTAACATTATGTCTATGGGGAAAACTGGTTCTGAAGTCGACCTTTTATAACTACAAAAATGTAGTATAAAAAGGTCAAAATTGGGCTATTTTTGTCCAAATATTGTGTCAAATTTCTTGAATATTTTGTTCGTTACGAAAGAATATTTATTCGATGTTTATGAAACTTTGCTATGATATACTTTGACATCTCCTCTTCCGAATAGCATACCCGCCCCCTTCTGACCCTCCTTTCAACTGGGCTAAAACTATGGCATTTCGAAATGACCCAAAAATTTCTATGTTCTAGTCACGTGATTTCAATAATTTTTTTGTCAGAAAAAACTAGATATGTCGATCATCATTTTATAGTTTACAGATTTGATCTAGCTCATTCCGTTCGGGAGATATAACGATTCTTGAGAGGACAAGTTTTTTTGAACGACTGGATTATAAATATATAATAGTTGCTAAAATCAAGTTGGTCGTATTAATAATTAATAATAAGACATTAAACATGTGAGATTAATAGAACAAGTCATCAGATAATTGCTAAAATTGTTAATTTTAATTTAATAGCTAAATCATAAATATCTTAATTGATTTTATCAAGCTTTAAAAGCTAATAATCTACATAATTATTTAATTATATTATAATATTATAATCATTATAATATCATATTATGATGTGATGCATACGAAAAGGAGAATTATGATTTGTATTAGGATTTCTAAAAATAAAAACAAAATAAACTAAATTAAATCAACTAATAGAAAAGTGTAGATTTTTAATTGACAAGTCAAATGACATGATAATTATGTTATAATTATAATTTAACCTAGATTTATAGTCCCATCATACCTGACAGCCGTGTGAGCGACCTTGCGCAAACTTTCTCAACTGGACAGGTCTGAGTTAAATAAAATATTACGGTGAACCGTATTGTGGAAATACACACTACAAATAATAAGATCTATTATAAAATTATCATGATGCAATTATGTTTTCACATATACCTAATAAAATGTCAAGTCGTCCCATGAATTCTGGCCGAGAAAATGCCTGTTTGGCGACATCCGATCGCCGATGATTACTACTGGTTTGGGTCGACCCATACGGTCACTGCCGGGCCGTATGTTTTGTACAATTGGCTGAAGTGGTCATTCCAGTGCTTGTTTGTCCTGCCAAACAAGTTTTATTATAATTATGTTTTAATTAAATGCTATATTTATTGTATATTTACGTTATATATTTCCAAAAATGGCAATGTCATAGAACCGTGTGGAAGTATCCTAGGTACTAAATAATTAAAAATAAGGCTATTGTTATCATTACTGATATTAATAAAACATTTTGATACATACTTCGGGCCAATATATTTGTGCTATTATAACATTGTATTATTAATAGCCATTTTTATTTGAAAACATGCAAATATGTTTAAAATTCAATATTACTTTAAATTAATTAATTTGTTGCATATATTTTAGTTAAAATATAACGTTATTGGTTTAATAAATTAATTTTATCATAATAAACTTTATTTCTCTGGTTATTAAAAATTGCACCAGGGTTATTAACTAGCAATTTTAATAGCAATCTTAAATATGTTCTGCACCCAACAAATAAACGTTTATTATATATCATATGTGGACTCATTGGACATATTAATGGCCACAACTGTTGCGTAC